ATTTTGTTGGATTCTCTTCCTTGAAATTGATGTTAATTTGATCTCCTCAGAATTTCTGATGTTTGCAGAGTGCTGGAAATAACTAACTTACTGAAACCCACTGAACCCTTTGACAAGACTAGTAAACCTGAATTGGAAGAGTGTGTTTTGGGGTTTGGGGGGGGTTTGTTGTTGTTGTATTTTCTTCAGGCTTCAAGAGGGAATGGTATTTCTGCCCTCCATCACTTCTTAACTGTCTTGCAAATAAATCTGCATCATGAATTTGTTCAAGTTGCATTTGACTACTGTTTCAGCATGGCAGCTTCCAAGGCATGTGTTAGCAGCCTTCATGTTGCTTTGAACAAATGTTTTTATTGATGTGTTGGACGGTTTTGGATATCGCTGCACTTGGAATAGTACCTGCTTTGCTATATTGAAGGAAACTGAATTCTTCATCACCGTTCACTGACTGTGATGCGGCTATTATGGGACAGATTTGTTGCCTCAAATTGCTCTGTAGTACATTTAAACACTTACTGTGAAACTATAAGCATATTCTCACAATTCATTATGTCCATCTTTGAGAATTTTTAGACAGTTACCTGTGACTTTTGAAGATGTTTTTCTTGGCTGTCACTTCAGCCTATTGGAAAGATGTATTAATACCTATCTCTTCACTTCAGCATAGAAGATGCGGTTATATCTGCCTTTTTTTTAAAAACCTCTGTCTACAATACTGTGTAATTCTCATGATCTTTTTTATGCTTCTGATAGCCTTTATTTCTTTCAAGCTTTTCCAGAATCTCTGAGATAAACATATGCAACTAAAACTAAAGCACACTTATCAGATATCTCTATGCTTGTAAAGCTGCTCTGCCAATTTCTAGATATCTACGTGAAGTTTTTACTTTGGCTTTGGTTAATTTTTTTGGGATGGTTTTTATTTGACTTGCAGACATGATGCTCTTCTGAAGTTTCTGTTCACTTAGAAGTCTATAACCTGTCATTGTCTAAATCCCTCAGGTGTGAAAGTAGGCAGGCTGCCTTGAGGGAAAATTGTTTAGCGCTAGCTTGAGTGGTTTATTTGTTTCCATACACTTTCTGTTTATAGTCTAGTAATCTTAGGTTAAGAGTTCCTGTATTGACAACACTGACCAAAGGTGTTTGAACCCTACGAAGCGTTTGCAAAGGAAGAGGGTCAAAGCATTCATGTCCCAGTTGGGCACTCTTTCTGTGTGGTTAAGACCATCCTGTAAGCTTAAGCAGTTACTCATCTGCGAGTAAATTTAGAGTTGGCTGGGAGAAGCAGCAGGAGAAACACTGCTGCATTTTTGGACTCGTGAAAGATACGAGAGCACTCTTCTGAGATTCCTGGTAAGATGCTAGTGTGGGACAGATTATTGAAAATCTTAAACAGTTCTGGCTATATTGCTATCCGAAAGAAATCTTTCATGTAGCGCTGCTTGGATTTCTGGTAGGAAACTAGAACTCTTTCTTCTTCCTGATTAATTGGTATTGTGACTGAGAAGAGGCATTTCTGTCGCTTCCTTGACTTTTCTGTTTCCAGGATGAGGGATGTTTTTCCTAGTGTGAAATGTCTTAATATCTACTTCTGCTTACAGTTTTCTAATAACAATAAAGTGCAATGGCTGATGATAAATGTTACTAGAAAAATTTCTCAAAAAAGCAGTTAAGCTGATTTATCAACAGACTGCTCCTTCTCCCCCCCCCAAACTGTGGCAAATCTCTGTGTCAGTGAAAACACTGAAACAGGCTGCAGAAAGGTGTATTTAGTTAATATCTGGAAGGGTATCTTCCCAACTGTAAAGTCTAAAAATTGTGTAGTGGAAGGTCTCATTTCTAAGCCTCCAAGAAAAATACTAGGGGCTGAGGTCTTCCAGTTTGCGAAGACAGGTGGATGGGTTTGTTTGTTTTAAGCCACTACTGATTTTTGGAAAGTGAGTGCAATGTAAAGCATGGAATTGATGTTAGAGTTCTCTTTTTAGATTTCCCTGAGTTTTAGATGTGCCCAGTCCTAGAATCCTTTCTACCACTCTAATTGTGTTGTAACTACACAGCTGATTCTAGTAGCTGGTATCTGCAGTTTGAATAACTTCATTTTTCTGGAGTAGTGGAGGGGACGGTGCCTACCTGCAGATCAAAACTTAGAATTGAATTAGCTTAGCATATAACTGTTACTTTCACTTAAAGTGGAAGAAAATTAGTCTGATTTTTTTTGGTGTATTAACACATTGCTATTGTACAGCAGATTGTGTGGTACCAGCTGCTTTCAGCTGTGTGGGAAGTTACTTTTCTGTCAAGGACATTATTCACTTTCACTCTTTGAAAAGCTATTAATAGGTTGACAAAATGCTAGCTAAAGCAAAGAGAAAGCAATTTCATGAGCTTAAGTTAAATTTTTCCTTTTTGGGGAGATTGACTCATCAGGAATGATCAAAAATCTTTTCTGTGCTTCTTGCATGTTGTTCAGCACTTATATGCAGAAGTATCAGCTAGTAAGAGTAACATACTTTTAGCAAAGTTTAATTTTTTTTTGAGAAAGTACTTTAGTTAAAGTGTAGAGAATAAAACATAGCAATTCTGTCAGTTTGCGTTAAAGTTACTTATAGCTGTTAAGAGAATGAGCATGTGCAAGGATTTAATGTGGGGACTTTTTAGTAAATGAATTAAGTGCTTTGATCTGGCTTAATTTTCCTGAGAATCTCTGTGAATACAAACTCTCACTTGCATGTATGTTACATACTATTTAGGAAATCATATTTAGCTTTTTCTGAGTGCTCAACTGGTGTCACAGCAGCATTATTAGCGCTTTGGTATCTCAAACACTGAGATTAGTCTGAAATAGCTTTTCTGTTTGGAAAGAAGGGTTTTTATTCTTAGTTTTTGATTTTTGATTTCTTATTTTTTTAATTCCAGGTCTGAGGCATATTATCTTGATAATTTAAGTCAGCCCAGCAAAATACTGTAAACTTGGTTATAGAGGTTATTTCTCTACTGGTTTGCATGAGGATATAAAGGTGAAATGGAAGAAACTTGCTATCTCTAACTTAGCCCCCCCCCCCCCCCCCCCCCCCCATTTTCCTTTACATATATGTTTAAAATATTTCATGGCAATATCATTGCCAGACTGAGTGGAGTAACTATTTGTCATTTAAAAAAAAAAAAAAAGTGAGCATTTGAACTTTTTGAGCACTGATCACAAAACACAGTATCAACTTTTGCAAGCTGTGTATAACTAATGCTTTTGCATCTTCTATGAAATAGTGTATAAATGACAAACTGCTGTTTTACTCTCATGATAGTCTGATTTTGTTTTCCGTTTAAAACTTAAGATACTTGTAACTTTTTATTCATATATTAATTATTTTTTGCTGAGAGCAAAGACTATGCATCTCTTCTTCATTAGGCTTCATCTCTTTTCCCCCCTCCCCGCTGACCCTTCCAGGATTTTTTGAAATATTATCTTTGGTCTAACCCCCTTCCCCACATACCAGTTTTACTAGTAGTAAAACTAGTCTTACTAGTCTTTTGCTAGTCTACTCCTCTTTTAAATCTAACCTTTCATCTGTCTTGGAGACATGCTCTCATTCATCAGCTTGGAACACGTGGATGATTCCTGATATCTGGAAATAGGTTGGGCAAAAACTGATATTCACAAGAGGAGTTGGATATATATAATGATGCTCTTCGGACACTATTTGGTATTCTTACATCAAGCTGAGGGAGATCAGACGGGGAATAATTTGTGTGGTTCTAGTTTTTATTTCAGTTTCAGCCCAACAGTGGACTGAAATAGTTCACACCAGAAAAATATATTAAAAAAAACCCAGCTGTGTAGTGGAAATAGTCCTTCAGTGCAGTGCTTCAGCCACGAGAGTGGATTTAATTCCTGCTTCTTGCTCCTCTGCTAGATCTTGAGTGCCAGCTGTAGTCTCAGCACAGTGTCCCTATGCTAAAGAGGTCCCTGCTAACAGCTGCAGAACAGCATGTTGTTACAGTGCAGAAATATAAGGAGTTTCATTGCATATGCTGCCAGAGTAGTATATGTGATAAGAAAGGGGAGGGAAGGGTGAACTGCAATGTGTTGCTGCTATTCTCCTGGCACAGGTGCGTCCTTCTGAAGAGGTAGCTGCTGTTGGAACGGCAGTATTTAATGGAATTAATCTGAGCTTGTAAATGAAAAGACTTTGAAGCCTTTGCTTAACCTGAACAAAGAACTATCAAAAATATACATGTTAGAGAGTTAATTCCAGTTCAAGAGAAAACAAGAGACTGGAACCAGTTTTCAGCATGGGTATAATTCTCTTTGTCCTGTTAGCCTGATTGGTTTAGTTGCACTGCGTTTTTTATTCTTTCACAAGGTTATATCTGTAGTTGCTTAAAGCTTTGCAGTGGGTAACAATTTTGTGATTCTTGTCAGTTCCACTTCTAAGTTTTGAATGGGGGTGACAGCAGCAATAAAGTGACTTGCCATTGAAGAAGACTGTCAGAATCATTTTAGTAAATACGATTTTCACATTTGACGATGTATTTTCACAGTGACAAGGTTTAGAACCTTAGTGGCCTGCAGAAGCTAGCAGTACTTGAAGGAAAAATTACTACTGAGTAGGCTTTCAATTTTAATTGTCTCCCTTACTCCAAAAAGTAGCAGTTAAAGGATAAGGGCCTGTTAGAAACAGGGGGAAAAAATTAAACTGCTTTTGTAGAATTCAGTTCATGACAAACAGAATTCAGTTCATGACAAACAAAATCATGGCTTAAAGATTGGATGCTTTTTTCTCTTTATTGTGATAGTATAATAACAGAAGAAGAAGAATAGAAATCCCTTTCTGAATTCAAATATTAAGATTTAAATAACAAATCCCTTTTTTTCAAGAGAGGGAATTGAAAGTATGCTGAAGAAATGTAATGGCAGTGGAATGTAACTTATGCTAATGTGGGACAAAATATTTTATGATAAACTAGTTATTTAATATGTTGTTTTTATTGATACAGATATGGTCCTGAACATCATGAGCATGTGACTTCAAAAATGGACAACTGGATCTATTACAAGTTGTGATTGGCCTTAAGCTGACTTACAACAATAGAAGAACTTCACAGGATTTCTCTCGTTCCTGTTTTACACCTATCTAATTGCCTCGCACCACCAGCTCAATCATGTACGGAAGTGCTCGGTCAGTTGGTAAGGTTGAGCCAAGCAGCCAGAGTCCAGGGCGTTCACCACGGTTGCCACGATCACCACGTTTGGGCCATCGTCGAACCAATAGCACAGGGGGCAGTTCTGGAAGTAGTACTGGGGGTGGCAGTGGGAAAACTCTTTCTATGGAAAATATTCAATCTTTAAATGCTGCCTATGCTACGTCTGGCCCTATGTACCTAAGTGACCATGAGAACGTGGGTGCCGATACCCCCAAAAGCACCATGACCTTGGGCCGATCTGGGGGGCGGCTGCCTTACGGTGTTAGGATGACTGCAATGGGTAGCAGTCCTAACATTGCCAGTAGTGGAGTTGCCAGTGATACTATTGCATTTGGAGAGCACCACCTCCCTCCAGTGAGTATGGCATCCACTGTGCCTCACTCACTGCGCCAGGCCAGGGATAACACAATAATGGATCTGCAGACACAACTCAAAGAAGTATTACGGGAAAATGATCTGCTCCGCAAGGATGTGGAGGTGAAGGAAAGCAAGCTGAGTTCTTCCATGAACAGTATCAAGACCTTCTGGAGTCCTGAGCTGAAAAAGGAGAGAGCCCTGAGGAAAGATGAAGCTTCAAAAATCACCATTTGGAAGGAACAATATAGAGTTTTGCAAGAAGAAAACCAGGTTTGTCACCTAATGTCACAATTGTGTTAGTGTGTACATGCATGCAGTAGCCTGAGTAAATGAATTTAACAAACTTGCAGACAGATTAATTATATTGGTGCTTTTCGCACTTAGTTGGTATGAATGAGATTTGTTTTCAACTAGCAAGTCTCTTTTTAAACGCTTACTATCGGTGATGAGCCGCCTCTGAGGGTTCATTTCTCCTGTTGTACTCTTATGTCATGTACTTTTTGTCTAGGACTGATACTAACCACTGTATTTCCCTTTGGAAGTGTTTTACCTTGTTCATTATTAATATTTCTGTAGTGCTAACTCTTTGAAGCATTTATCTGAGCTGCAGAATGTACCAACTGCCTACCCCTAAGTACAACTGAATTGTTCCTGAATGTAGACAGATTGCCAATGAAACAAAGTTTGCATTGCACTGGTGTCATTTTAGACCTCTAGTTAAAACCTGCAGACCTGGGAGTTTCACAGAATGTTATACATTTGGCTACACTTAAATAGCAGTGCCTGCTCGTCTATTCTTTTGTCATTAGCTGTGCACATCTTCTTATATGACTATCATAAAGCACCTAATGTTGTTTGTCGTGGTCTGGCTAGTTAGAGAACAGGCAGGAGAACACAGGATCTTGGGCATCTAGTTGTTCTATCTTCTCCCTCTTGAAAGCATCCCCAGATTAAATAAAACAGGGGTAGGTTAAAACTGAGGGTTTTTTTTAAGTCAGCTCGAGTCATTAAGAGCTTTTTTAGTTTTCCCATCTAGACCTCCCTTCTAGCTAATCCTGAGGTAACTACTCATTTTTGATTTAGCATCCTCCTATTTAGTTGTTTTTGGCCAAATGCGAGTTAGGAAGCTCTCTGTTTTCTGCTCTAAGAAATCCCACCTTTCGAGTGCAAAACAGACCCAGTGTCCAATTCCTAACATTTCCCTAAAATTAAGTCAACTTTCACCATGGTAAAATTAATTTCCCTGCTGGGTTTTTAAAATATCCAAGAGTATTTGATGAACTGGTTTCCATAATTCAAGTGTGATCATGTTCTTGAAACTCTGTTGGTGTACTTGCTATTTTAGACAGTGGATTTTTTTGGTTTTGCTTTGGAAGATGGAGAGGAGAGGGGAAGCGCTGGAGAAAAAAGTAGTGGTAGTACTTGACACGTTATGCTCTACTTTCAGGTGGCCTATAACTTAAATAGTAGATTCATTTTGATTACTGACAACTTGTTATACTGAAGGTGTCTGAGATTGTTCTATTTCTTAAAGAGCTTAGATACAGCAAACAATTTGCTTTTCCTGAGTTAGTATGAAATAATTTAATGAACTTGTCATGCTGTTTCATATTCTTGCTTTCTGGTAGTATGGCAGCATGAGATTTGTTAACGTGTGCAGCATTTTAGTGTTCGTTGTAGTATGTCTTGCTGGAATGAAAAAAAAAAAAAATCCAATTAAAAGTCATTTTCATTATAGTGGTGCTGTACCTGAATGAAACATTAAGTACCATCCACTCTGGAAACTCTCTGGTGTTGCTCTGGTCTTTCAGTTGCGGCTAAGTATTTTAATTCCAAAATTCTTTTCTTTTGGTTTTAAAGTTGTGTTTTCATCCTGAGGAAAATGCCTTGGAAGGTGAAAATGCTTTTAACACATCGGTTTTGATATTTGAGGGTGCTGTGGAAATCTTGCAAGGAAAACATAGTGAACGTATCACTTGTAAAATGGAATGCGAAGTTGCTGAATATGTATAAACTGGAGAACACTGGTTCCTCTTTTCCAGTGTTTTTCCTATCTCTCCTTTATTCCCTAATTAAACATTTACAGATATTTCCAGGCCACTGTTCTCTAGGCAATCACTATAATTACTACCACACTGGTGGAATTGTATAAGTTGGATCCAAAAAAAGAAGGGTGCAATTTAAAAGTAAAAGGGTATTATTGCAATGAGCTGTTAAAAACTGAGAATGCTAATTAATAGATTATAGTTAGCTAACAGTGTGTCCTAATTAAACTCTGAATTCATTATGTCGTCTATAGCCTTCCGGAGTTGGTCACTTCAGCCTTTATAAGGAAGATCAGTTTAATAGGATTTACTGTAATTAAACAGACTTCTCTGTTTAGACACTGAACAAGGGATTTCTCTCATCTATGGGGGAACCAGAACAATTTGTTCATTACCTGCCCCCCATAAAATAGCTTAATTTATTCCTGCTACATTATCTTTCAGCATACTTGCAGGAGCTGGTATTTTAGATCTCAGTACCAGTATTTCTACACATCACTTTTATTAAAGCCTTCTGGTATGGGCAGGACTCATGCTTTGTACTCAGTTTAGCTAAGGACAAATATGTTGGTAAAAATTGCCCCAAATCACAGAGCTGAGATGCTGTCTGACTCATGCCATTATCTGATAGTCATCTCTGTCTCTTTGCTGTGATCTTAGCTCTTTATTCTTCTGAGCACACTTAATTGTCCCTGTTTGGATTTTATTACTGGTTTTGTCACCTTTGAATGATTGAATTGCCCTTTAGTTTTGGAAGATGTTAAAAATACTTAAAAACAGGACCTCTGGTTGATTACCACCTCATAGTCTCTTTGTCTCTGGGATTTGAGGGTTTTTTTTTTTTTTTCATGTCTCAGAAGCGCTTACAAATACATTATGATTTTTTTGCACATTGCTTACCAATTTCCAAGAAAGTTTTTAGGCTCAGTAAAGATCAGAAGATCAGAGAACTCCTTTTGAAAAACCTAATAGGGAGACTGGAGACTGTGCCACCTGTTGTGATGCAGTTGCATTTTTTTATCCTTTTTTTTTTTCTTTTAGGACAATAGGGAGCAGGAATATCTTGGATAGCACTGAGAATATAGTGCAGATGCATCCGTTTAGGTCTCGGTTGGGTCCAGAATGCTTAGGCCTTGCTTAGCTGTATTGTTTTACAGCCAGTTTAGCTGTGAATGCAGTACGGCTGTATTAATGGGATACTCCATCTGAGCAAATATTCTGGCTTTGGAGTGTAGCATATGCTGAGCTTTATTATAACCCTTTCTCATTGATCTTGAAGAGCCAGAAGATAACTTTCTTCTGGTAAGTGGGGAATATCGTAACCATCTCATTTTGAAGTGCTTAAAACTTAACATGGAAAGTATTCCTGTAGCTGAAGTAAGTTCTTGGAAAAAATACAATGGTTTTCAATGCAATTTGGGTTAGTTAACCAATTATACTTTATTAGAAGCCAAAGGGAGAGTGCTAATGATTTCTCAAAAGTTAACAAAGCTGTGCATATCCAGAGAGGAACTGATGGAGCCAATAAACAGGAGTTTGTTTTTGGCATAGCGTACTTTAGGATCTCTATTTTTCTTCAGTTGAAAAATTCACTTTTAGTGTGAGTGTGGTTTAAAGTTTGACTGGAAACCCCTTCATCACAAGCCAGAAGAGGGAAGGAAAAGCAAGGCAGTGAGTATTTTTGGCACTTTGATAGAAGCAATTTGTCTAAAAACTGGACCATGATGGACTATGTGGAATTTGAGAGCAAGGGACTCCTCTCAGTTTCTTATACCAAGGTGTTTGTCCCTTAATGTAACTAGGTGTCGAATTTATGTTGCACAGACGTCCTGCACTGAAGTTTGTCTTCCCGTGTTGACTAATCTGTGTTAAGATCAGAATTATGTTTCTACTGAAATAATGTGGTGTCTCTGAAAATATATTCTTACTTTGATGTCTTTTTGTGGTTAGAGGCCTTAGATGTCTGCATGAGAGCATTTAACCAAGAAAATATTTCTGAAAGGAATTTCACCTTACTGGGGCAAGCTCTTGAGGAGCATTATCTCTTACTTTGTGATGGAAAAGTGTGGCGCCACACCAGCAGGGTTCCTCTTCAGACTTTTACTTGCATCTCCACCATCAGAAATAGCCTCTCCTTCACAGTAATGTGGGATGAGCATTTCTCATTTTAAAAATATAGTTGTCTTTTTAAGACAGACGTGTGTTTGAGAGCTGCGGTTACGAGACTGGCTGAACTTCTAATGAGTGTATTTTTCTCTGAAAATCAATTAATTCTCATTCCTCCACTGACTTTAATTATGTAAAAATAACATTTTGATTTGTTTGCCCTAGTACAATATCATTTAAATACTAATACTGTTCTTGAATTGGAGTTGATAGAAAGCTATTGGATGTTTCTGCAATATGCAGAGATATGGATATTTCTGCAATATGCGGATGTGTATGCATTTCCTAAAGGCATTATAGGTAGCCTACAGCTATCCTACATGCTTAAATAAGTTGTTGATGGGAGATCTTTGTCAGCTCTCTAGAACATTGCCAACTTTAAGGTTCCTTCCCTTCCCCAGCATGAAATTGTAACTTAATTCTCTTTTAGAATAACTCAAAGTTATCTCCTCAAGAGAGCTTAGTATCTGAGGCCTTATCAAGTTGCAGCGCTGTTTAGTGACTTCAAAAAATTGTCATATAATAGGCCAAGAGATGGACTTTCTGTGTTCTGCCCCTTTGCATTCCTAGGAGGAAAGAAAACTACAAGTTTTGTGCCTAACTTTACCAATGCTCCCTCCTCCGCCATATATTCCTAGCAGGGGAGAAGCTAATACCTTGAGTTGCTTTGAGCCATTGGATAGTCTAAACGACTGGTCTCTGCTTGATCTGTTAGACGAGGGGAACTCTACCAACTTGAGCAGCTTTTATAAAAGGGTAACTGGTACTGTTGAACTTAGCTTAGCTGTGCTTTTTTGGTTAAGCTGGGGGAGGGGTGTTCTTGCACTCTAAATACTAGGTCTCCCTCATAACAGACTCTGTTCCTCCACTCAACTCAAATTCTTTGGCTGCTATATATTGAGATGGTTCAGACATTGCTCCCCTAATCAGGGTTGTGCCGATATTTACCCCCTACCACCACCACCGTTTAGTATGTGTATTCCTGAAGAGTCTCATCTATATTACTGTGTTTCTCTAGAAGCCATATATTATCTCTCTTGACATTGTCTTAATTCAGAT